AAGAGAAACGGCGATGCAGTGCAAATCGCAGTCGGTTACCGATTGTTGCGCCGAAGAACACTAGATGCCAAATGCATGTAGCATTGCAGTTGTTCGAGTTCCAGCGAGCCATGTACTGTTTCAATGGCCTCCGAATATATTTTCGTCTCTTATATGGAATATGGTTGAATTAACGTACTCAGAAACGCACACTTTTGGCTTATATGCGGTGGTAAGTAAGGAGCACGGGCTTTCGCGACGCTCTTCATGAGATGTGCTCTCACCGATATAAAAGTCTCTTCGCAAATGGCATGTTTCGTGTTTAGTTCATGTTTTGATGCTCATACTGAAAAATAGTACGCAATATTTATTAATAGAGGCATTTCAGCTCCAAGCAAGCCACCAGCTGCGGCCTAGCTGACCAGACACGAAACTTCGTCCACAGGTTTACCTTGAAGTGCAGTACGTTTGTTGAGATGATCGCTTTGAACCTTTCGCATGTGCAGAACCTCTCTGATTTCTGTGTCTGCCGTTTTCGCAGCGTTACTGTACTTTCGCTATAATGCCCCTTATAGAAACGTAAACATCCAACTAGGCCACGTCCTCATCAGCCACAAGTGTCGCAGCTCGTTACTCGGGACTTGCGTCAGGCCTGTCACCTGCATTACGTCTGATCGCCATATTGTCGTATCGGAACGCCGTTTAACCAGTTATTCGTTTCAAATCCACGTCATCCGATTGAATCGCATGAGTTGCTCAATATTGACAGGCTAAAATATGTCGAAGTGGCGCGGTCGGCTTACTAAAAGGGGCTAGAGAGTTATTTTAATACCTCCCTCAGTGCCTGGTTTGGAAGTGTCAATGTCGATTAAGTTTACAAAGTCGTCAAAGGAGCCGTAATTTGCTCGGCGATAATAACGTAGTTGGGATCTCGAACAGGTAAGTCAAACTGCGCTGGGCTACGGAAAGGACCCTGTCTCTTTGATTACAGAGAAACCAAACGAGAAAGTCGCACTTGTACCCTCGAAGCCAGCGAATTGGCATCTCTTTCGTGCAGTCAACCAGATTTTCAGACAGGACCGGAAACTTTGGCTGGAGAGGTAAATCATAAAGATCGATAAAGCTGCTGGAAAAGGTGAATGCCGAGCGGTGTTTTAAAGAGTACGGCATTTCCGCATTCATTGAACTCATTCTGTCATTATTCAGAACATCAAAGATGTCCTGGCAGGTTCGAAGGAATACAAGAACAGATGGGCTGAACATTTCCGACAGCAGTTCTCGGCTATCCTCCAGATTCGCCAATTCCGACCGTTAATGGTCTGCCAACACTGGAATTTACGTCAGAACCATCCACAAAATGAGAAATACAAAATGACTTGCTACAACTCCAGGTGAAGAAAGCCTGCGGGATGGATGAAATTCCTACGGAGTTAATTGGATATGAAGAAATGTGAATGTTTCCCAGGAAAATGGAAGTGTAGTTTAATTATCCCTCTGTTTGAAAGGGGTCCGATGATCGACTATTTCAATTATCGTGGTGTCACACTACTGTCAACTCCCGGGAAATTTTTCTTCTCGATTATTCTGAAAACGCTAAGGCAGACACTTATAGAAGACTTCGCCAGAATCAAGCAGGCTTCCGGTTGGGAACTCGAAACTATCATTCTGCGTAGGAACATTGAGCAATATCGACGATTCCGGTTGCCTTCATTTTACGGCTAAGGTTGCATTTAACCCGCTGTATCGTCTATATTGTCTGGCGATTTGGAAAATCTTGTAATCCTATGGCATACCTGACAAAATCGTTTCCATTTTGAAAGAGATGTATGCAAGAACCACGTCTGCTCTCAAAGTCGAAGAGGAGATATTTGAGTGGCTCTCTATTATCTGTGGAGTTCGTTAGACTGATGTGCTTTTGCCGTCGCTATTCAACATTGTTCTGGGCTTTCTTCTCCGACATAGTACTAACCCTGGCAGAGACAAAGCTCTGATTCTGTAGAGAAGGCACGGTTCAAAATATACTACAAATATATTGCTAACCTGTAATACGCAGATGATATTGTTCTAGTGAATGCAACGAGGAGCTAGCTCTGTCCTCTAACGACTTCCGTCAGCAACAACTGCGAAAGCCGGTCTATTCTTCAGCGCCCAAAGTCTAAAGTTATAAGCAACCCATCCGGCACAGCTCAAATACAAGCGGAACAAAGAGCTAAAGCGCTTGAGGTGAGCGTCGACCAATTTAAATATCTCGACTCCATCATCTTCACCGATGGCACCACCCAAGCAGAATTAAATGCGAGATATGTCCTAGCCTTGAGTGCCTTGGAAGCGTGTCTAATATATATGCTGAGAAATGAGTGCCTACCTCCTCCAGTGTCCGCCTTTACCACGCTACTCTCATGTCAGTATTGTTCTACGGCATGGAAACAGTTGTTGTAATGAAGGGGCAAAGACCGCAATTTATAAACGACGTGCAGCAGCATTGGCTTCGACCCATACTTCACTTCCCATGATCGCTTCTCCATTCCTGTCGCGCAGGCAGACGCTTCAGACAGTGCTTCCAGCGTTTCCGATCCTGTGTTAAAGTCTGAGTTTCGGCAGAAGACAGCCGCAGTTTGGAGCAGACTCCTTTCGTATATCTGCACCAAGTTTATCAAGGCCGTCCCCTGGGTCTTCTCTTGCCGATCAGCTGGACAAACAGTAGTTTCTTCGCTTTTCTTTCTGGAGACATTCGCAACATGTACCAAGACCATCGCAGCTGTGACTTCTCAGTCTGAAGAAGCAGCGGCTTTACGCCAAGACATAAAACCAGCTACTCGCCTCATAAAGCCTATTGCAGCCGCTTTTGCCCAAAATCGAAGTTTTTCTGTCACGGCCCACGACTCATGACCGTAGGTAAGCGTGGGGATGAAGATCGACTTCATTACCGAGAGTTCTGCTTCTGCTTTAGTAACAACGGTTCGGGCTAGCTTATGCAGAACGCCACTGTCTACTCCAATTCGTCGGTCGATCTCTTCCTCAAATTTGCCATCACCAGGAAACACGGCCTCAGTCCATTCAGACGGTGGACACGAATATAGCCCCGAACGTACAGTGGTGTAAGCTGGAAGGGAAGCTGAGAGAAGCGTTCAGAATGGAAGTTACGAGAAAAATGACGAAGGAAGACTGGAACAGAAAAGTGCTCGCAACATGAGAGCGGATGGCCAGCATAATCGTAGGGAATGCCAGAGGCCTTTTTGGAGAAACAAAAGGCACAACAAATATCCAGAAAGAAAGGTAGTGGTGGAATGCGATAGTTCAGACGACCTTACGACAGAAGAAAGAACCGTTCAAGA